GGAATGTATTACTGGGGGATGTTCATATTAATGGAAAACTCTGGGAATCCCCACAAGGAAAGAGCAGTCTAGGAAAGAGAGTATTTCAATCTACACCTGAGCCCTTATCATACACAGGACATCACACTGAAGACGGGCTGCTGTGGGGAATGTCAGCGGGGAGACTGAGGCAGGTGCCAGGCAGGCGGGCAGTCACCACAGCTAAAGACAATCACGCGCAAGCTCCAGAGCCTTCACTTAGGACTCGCAGCACCTTCACATAAGAAAAGCTGGCTGGGTTATTCTCCTTTTAGCTCTGTGGTAGAGCAATAAAATAGTAACTTCAGAATATAAATAACAAAGTAGAGATTAACTTGTAGAATAGCCTATAGAAATATAAACAATAGATAAGACTAAAATTAACACACCTAAACAGATGTAAATTCTTTAGCAAAGGTCAGATAAGAAGGTATATTCCTTAACTGGGAAAGGCCAAAACAGAAACCTGAACAAAGCATGATGTCATGTTGTTTAACCAGCAATAAAATCAAATAGTATAAATACAGTTGTAACAAGGCAATAAAAGAAGAAGCTAATTATCCTGATGCTCTGAACGCTGTCTCTGTGGCCTTCCTTCATTCTTCCCTGACACCGTCCACATCTTTGGGGACCCCTGGACCGCTGGAGCTGGACCCCAGCAAACTTGTACAGAATTAACGGGAGATATTTGTTAAATTTTTATTTTAATGGCTTTGTAAATGCATAACTTTCATAAAAATAAACTGCATCTATTTAAAGTAAGAAATTTTATGAGATTAGACATTTATATACAGTTGTGTAACCATACCACAATCAAGATAACAAACATATGCATCTCCCCCAAAGTCTCTCTGTGTCTCTTTGTAATCCTTCCCTCAATCTTCTCCCCACCACCCATTCCCATGTCAGGCAACATCTGTCACAAAATAGTTAGCATATATTAATATTTCATAGAAATGGAATCATATGTACTCTTTTGCCTGGCTGCTTTCTCTCATCATAGTTATTTTGAAACTCTTCCATGGTCCCATAAGTATCAATGGTTCAGTCTTTTTTGTTGCTGAGTAGTAAGTATTCCATCATAGAGAGAATAAAACAATTTTTTTATTCACCTGTTGATGTATATTTCCATTGGTCCTAATTTGGGGCTGTTACAAATAAAGCTGCTATGAACATTTGTGTGTAAGATTTAAAAACAAGCAAACATAGGCTCTCATTTCTCTATGGTCAATACCTGAGAGTGGAATGACTGGATCATATGAGAGGTATGCATTTGACTTTGTTTAACTTATCTATTTGTTCTAGTAGCATTGTTGTAGATACCCTTGGATTTTTTACTGGACAATTATGATGTCTGTGAATTAAGATAGTTTCACTTCTTCCTGTCCGAATTGTATGAGTTTTCTTTCTTTCTCCTGCCCAACACCTACTGACTAGAACCTCTGGTACAATATTAAATACAAGAGATAAGAGCCAAAATTCCTGATCTTAGGGGGAAGCATCTAGTCTTGCACCATCCAGTATGACATTTGATACAAGTTTGTTGCAGAGGCCTTTCATGAAATTGAAGAAATTGCCTTTGATTCTGAATTCACTGAGAGTTTGTAATGAGGACCAGAGGCTGGATTTGTCAAATGGTTTTCTGTAACTACTGAGGTTACTCTCATTAATTGATCAACTGATGATTAATAACCTCTTTGGATACATTATTGATAAACTGTCACAAAAAAATTTTAAAGAAGACATCGCTCTTCCATTTAACAAGTAATGAAACAAAGCTCCCAAGTGTCTAGAAAGCACATGCAGAGCTAATAGTTTTTAACACAGTTCCCTCTGAGAGCAAAAATCTGTTTTTTAGTTTTTTCACTACTGATTATTTTCAGAGAACACCTGAGAGAAAGACTAGAGGGTAGCAAATTTAATTCTTTTTTAAAATTTATCTTTATTGTTGAAAGTCGTAAAGATATCCCCCTTTTCCCCTCATTGATCCCCTCCACCCTGCACACCCGCCCCCAGGCCTTCATCACACTATTGTCTGTGTCCATGGGTTATGCATATATGCATATAAATTCTTAGGTTAATCTCTCCTCACCTACCCACCCACCCCTGCCTTCCCTCTGAGATTCATGTCTGTTCCATGCTTCTATGTCTCTGGAATTATTTTGTTCATCGGTTTATTCTGTTCATTAGAGTCTACATATGAGTAAGATCATGTGATACTTGTCTTTCTCTGACTGGCTTATTTCGCTTAGCATAATACTCTTCAGGTCCCACCATGCTATCTCAAAGAGTAAGGGATCTTTCTTTTTTATAGCTGCATGGTATTCCATGGTGTAAATGTCCTTGAAGAGGCTTGATATGTTTTCAATCGTCTTGAACTTGTAGAGACTTGTTTTGTGTCCTAACATGTTGTCTATCTTTGAGAATGTCCCATGTGCACTTGAGGAGAATTCATATTCTGCAGCTTTGGGGTAAAATGTTCTATAAATGTCAATTAAATCCATCCGATCTATTGTGTCATTTAGAGTCACTGTTTCCTTGTTGATTTTTTGTCTGGAAGATTTATCCAGTAAAGTCAGTGGGGTGTTAAAGTCCCCTACTATGACAGTATTGCTGTCTCCATCTCTCCTTTAAAGTCCTCTAGAAGTTGTTCATTTCTTGTTCTGTTTTTTTCAGCCTATGTGAGCCTTCTGTTCTCAGGTGAGTCTCTTGTAGACAGCATATATTTGGGTCTTGTTTTCTTATCCATTCAGCTACCCTCTGTCTTTTGATTAGAGCATTTAGTCCACTTATATTTAAGGTTATAACTGATAGGTGCTTATCTATTGCCATTTTCTTTCTTTATGCTTATGTTTCCCTTCCTCTCTATTTGAAATTCTTATTACAGCAGCCCCTTTAACATTTCTTGCAATGCTAGGCAAAAATACTTCTGAGCCTTTGAAATATCTTAAAACAGTATGTTAACAGGTTCTTTTTTTTTTTTTTTTTTAAATATATCTTTATTGATTTCAGAGAGAGGAAAGGAGAGGGAGAGAGAGAGAGAAACATCAATGATAAGAAAGTCATTGATCAGCTACAGCCCACAACCCGGGCATGTGCCCTGTCCGGGAATCGAACCCCGATCGCCTGGATCCTAGGCCTATGCTCAACTGCTGAGCCCCGCCCCGCCGGGCAATAGATTCTTTATTTATGCAAATAGAACTAACAAAAATAATTAAATAATTGCAGGTTTAGCTTTTTCACAAAAAAGAAAAAAAAGGAAACAAAATGAAGGTCATAAACGGCAATTTAGGAGCAAACCACTAGGATGTATCTTGACCATTCCTTTTAGACCAGTTATTAGACACCTGATTTGAGCAGTGAACTATGGGAGAGGGGAGAAACTCTTCCAGACTTTTGTGAATCACTAGGAAACTGAAAGTTTATCCATGGCTAGTGATCACTCTCTTTCTCTGTTCCTTAAAACTTGCTTATGATAAAGCAGTCTAGACCATAGTTCTTCAAATTATCCAGTATAAACATTTCTCAAAAAAAATTTTATACCCAAAATATTGATATATGTATATACATCTTTCCCAAAGGTAGAAGCAACACAAATGTCCATCAACAGATGAATGAATAAAGAAAATGTAGTATATACATACATTGAAATATTATTCAAGCTTGAAAAGGAACGAAATTCTGACACACGCTACAACATGGGTGAACTGTCGGTACATTATGATAGGTGAAGTAAGTTACAATATGAGCAATAGTGCATGGGTCAACTCTCATGAGGCATCTAAAATGGTCAGACTCATAAGACGAGAGCTCAAATGGTAGTTGCCAAGGGCCGGAGGGATGAAGGAATGGGGTGTTATTGTGTAACCAGTACAAATTTTCAGTTTTTCAAGATGAATAAAGTTCTAGAGATAAGATAATGGTGCTTCTTGAACAACAATGTAAGGGTAATTAATACTACTCAATTAAACACCTAAAATGGTAAAAATTTATGTTAAAATGATAAAATTTAAATAATTTTAAAACTTTAAAAACACTCCTTTTTAGATTTCTACTGCGCACATCAGCTTTCCAAACGTAAATATAAGAGTGAGTACAATACAAGATCACCTATCAAACACCCATTAAGACTCAAATTATAAGGCACTCAGACAATGGGGTTAAAGGTAGAAGGAGAAAGTATTAGAGAGTGAGGATTTTGGATTGTAGAGCACTGATTGAAGAATGAAAAAGGGCATGGAGGTGTGCAAATGCTCCACTTGATGGAAAAATGCTTTTAGCAGAGTGGTGAAATGAAGGGCAAGAGTAGAAAAAGATAAGTCACACTCTGCTGATCTACAATGTCCCCCTAAAGCTACTAATCATTGATCATTTTATGAGTAAGAATGGTGGGAGGAAAATAAATCTACATAGTTAAAATGAGCTCTTCCATGCTAGAGTGTTAATAAGATGGAAAGAACACAAAGTTTGTCACCCAGTAGGCACTTTAGAAAGTAAATGAAGGTACCTTAACTCAGCTGTCAAATCTAAATTAAACTAACTCATTAAACAATATAAAAGAGCATAACATACCAAAAGAAAAGAAACACAGAAAGATTTCACTGTCTTCCTTATTAAATATAATGCCTGTAACATAAAATACACTAAACAAATATTTATTGAACAAAATGATCTTAAAAATATTATAATTTCATATACTTTTACTGATTTTTGAGTCAGATGTTTCTGAATTTTATTAATCAATTCTTCCAGCTCAATTTGTCACCAAATGGAAAATTGTTGTCACTCTTCTTTGTCTCCAACAAAAAATTTCAACCCAAATTTTTAAAAATATGCATATTTTTTATGAATGATAGCTCTAAACATGGTTTATGAACCTGGAGAAGTATTTTCATAGTGTTTTCCCTCTAAGCCTACCTACATCTGTGCTGCCACAGGCCTGGCCACTTCCTGTCTGTGATGACAATTCCCAGCCTTGGTCCCTACAGCAGGTGGATGCATAAAGCAGAGCTCTGGGGTTTTGGTACACCTCCTCCCAACACGCCTCTCACTGTGGGTTCACTCAGGGCACAGAAATACACTGCAGAGTCCTCCAGCTGTGAGGCTGAGATGACAAGGGTGACAGAATTCTTTGCTTTCTGAAAATTCAATGAGTAGCGACCTTCTCTGGCATTTTGCTGGTTGTAGGAATCCTGACGAATAACAACAATCATCGCCCCACTGCTGGGCTGCTTGTACCAGAATAGACTGTAACTTCCATAATTCGTGTCATATGTGCAGTCCAGGGTCACAGCCTCCTTCTCCTGCACTAGCATTGCCGATTGGCCTTGAGTTACCTTCTGTGCAATGCTAGATCCTGAAAGAAAAAAACACAAACAGAAGCTTTTGAGATAAGAGGTGTGAGACAAAAATATTTTTTTTACACCCTGCTAGCTTTCCTTCCCAGGGTTCCCTTAAAACTATTCCTGGACCCCATGTCCTTAGGTCATAAAGAAGAGCCATCCCCACTGGGCCTTCCTTACCTAGCCACATTGAAGCCATGACTACCTTCAAAACGCTGGATAGCAACATGTTCAAGTTCTTTCACTAGGTGAGAAATGTTTTGTTCTTCAGTTTCAGGGCTCTGCAAGGTGAGGTGACTCTGACAGGGGGAGAGAAGAAATGCTGGGTTATGTGCTGCTGCTGCCCCAGAACAGGAAACAGCAAGTTAATGTGGATCACATCAGACTTCATTATGTACTGGCTGAGAGTGACACTCAACCCAAACTTCCTTTTGGATTAACCAACTTTTTTTTTTCCAGTTACCATTTACATTCAATATTATTTTGTATTAATTTCAGGTGTACAGCATAGTGATTCGCCAATCATATACTTTAGAAAGTGTTCCCTCCAATATTTTCAGTACCAACCGCTGGTACCATACATAGCTATTACAATATTTTTTACTGTATTCTTTATACTGTACTTTACATCCTAGTGACCATCTTATAACTACCAATTTGTGCTTCTTAATCCCTTCATCTTTTTCACCCAGTTTCCCAACCCTCTTCTCTGGCAACTATCAATCTGTTCTCTGTGTATATGAGACTGTCAATTCTCTTGTTCATCTCCTTTGTTCTTTAGATTATACATATAAGTGAAATCACATGTTATTTATCCTTCTCTGACTTGTTTCACTTAGCATAATACCATATAGGTCCATCAATGCTGTCTCAAATAGTAAGATTTCATTCATTTTTATGGCCAAGTAATATTCCACTGTGCATATGTACCACCGCTTTTTCATCCCTCATTTACTGATGAGCTCTTGGGTTGCTTCTATATCTTGGCTATTGTAAATAATGCTATAATGAACATAGGGGTGCATATATCCTTTCAGATTAGCAATTTGGGTTTTTTCAGATATATACCCAGAAATGGAATTGCTGGGTCATAAGGTAGTTCTATTTTTAATTTTTTGAGGTAAATCCATACTGTTTTTCACAGTAGCTGCACCAGTCTGTATTCCCACCAACAGTGCACAAGGGTTCCCTTTTCTCTACTTTCTCACCAACACTTGTTGTTTGTGGATTTATTGATAACCATTTTGACAGGTGTGGGGTGATATCTCATTGTCAATTTAATTTACATTTTTCCGAAGACTAGTGATGTTGACCATCTTTCATATGTCTATTGGTGTTCTTTGTAGAAGCTTCTATTCAGGTCCTCTCTCAATTTTTTAATTGGATTATTATTATTATATATTTTTTTTGCTGTTGAGCTGTATGAGTTTTTTATAAATTTTGTGTGTTAACCTCTTATCAGATGGGTCATTGATGGATATGTTTCCCCATTCAGTGGGTTGTCTTTTCATTTTGTTGATGGTTTCCTTTGCCATGCAAGAACTCGTTAGTTTGATGTAATCCCATTGCTTATTTTTTCTTTTGTTTCCCTTGTCAGAGGAGCTATAGCAGAAAAAAATATTGCTAAGAGAAATGTCTGAGAATTTGCTGCCTGTTTTCTTCTAAGAATTTTATGGTTTTGAAAATGACATTTAAGTCTTTACTCCATTTTGTATATGGTATAAGAATTGGTCTAGTTTTTCTTTTTTGTATGTATCTGTCCAATTTCAAAATGTCATTTTTTGTCTTTACCTGGTTGCATGTTCTTGCCTCCTTTGTCAAATACATGGTGGGCAAAAATAGGTTTAGAGTTGTTTGTATGGGAAAAGACATGCAGATAATGATTATAATAATACAAGAATAAACCCTGTGTTTTGCATACTTCCAATTGTAAACCTAACTTTCACCCACCCCTGTATTAATTGACCATATAAGCATAGGTTTATTTCCGGGCTCTCTATTCTGTTCCTTTGATCTATATATCTGTTTTTATGCCAGTACCATTCTGTTTTGATTACTATGGCCTTGTAGTATAGTTTGATATCAGGTAGCATGATACCTCTATTTTTCTCTCTCTCTCAAGATTGCTATGCCTATATGGGGTCTTTTGTAGTTTCATTTAAATTTTTGGATTATTTGTTCTAGTTCTGTGAAATACACCATTGGTGTTTTTTTAAAAAAATAAATAAGCATGAAGAGAGTTTAAGGTAACTTTGGGGCCATTGGTATTTTGATAAGAATTACATTGAATCTATAGATTGCCTTGGATAATATGGACATTTTAATGATGTTAAATCTTCCTATCCATGAACATGGTATATGCTTCCATTAATTTATACCTTTTCCAATTTCTTTCTTCAATGTCTTATAATTTTCTGAGTACAAATCTTTTACCTTCTTGGTTAAATTTATTCCTAGGTATTTAACTTAATTTTTTAAAAATTTATGTTCATTGTTGAAAGTATTACAGATGTCCCCCTCCCCCTTTCATTGAGCCTCTCCATTCCACTCCCACCCCCCTCCATAGGCCTTCACTGCACTATTGTTTGTCCATGAGTTATGCATATATGCATACAAATTCTTTGGTTAATCTCTTCCTCTCCCCTTTCCCCTGAAATATGTCAATGTGTTACATGCTTCACTATCTCTAGATCTATTTTGTCAGTTTATTTTGTTCATTAGATTCCACATATAAGTGAGATTATGTGATACTTGTCTTTCTGTGACTGGTTTATTTCACTTAGCATAATACTCTCCAGGTCCCTCCATGCTGTCTCGATAATTTTTTTATGCAATTGCAAATGGGATTGTTTTCTTAGCTTCCCTTTCTGCTATTCATTGTTGGAATATAAAAATGCAACTGATTTCTGGATGTTTATTTTGTATCCTGCTACTTAACTAAATTTATTTATCAGTTTTAGTAGGCTTTTTGTGGAATCTTTAGGGTTCTCTATATAGAATATCATATCATCTGCAAATAATGACAGTTTTACTTCTTCCTTTACAATTTAGATATCTTTTATTTCTTCTTGTCTGATTGGTGTTGCTAAGACTTCCAGTACTATGTTGAATAAGAGTGGTGAAAGTGGACATCTCTGCCTTGATCTTGATCTTAAGAAAAATATTTTAGCTTTTCCTGTTGAGTATAATGGTAACTGTGGGATTGTCAGATATAGTCTTTATTATGTTGTGGTTTATTACCTCCATTCCCACTTTGCTGATATGGAAATTTTAAGTATGTTGATTCTTTCAATCCATGAACATGGACTGTCTTTCCATTTAATTATGTGTCTTTTTCAATATCTTTTAATAATGCTTTGTAGTTTTCAGTATATAGGCCCTTCATATCCTTTGTTAAGTTTATTCCTAAGTATTTATTCTTTTGTTGCAATTGGAAAAGAAAATGTGGGCTTTTTTCATTTCTTGTTCTGAAATTTCATTGTGAGTATATAGGAATATGATGGATTTTTGTACATTGATTATGTATCCTGCAACTTTACTGTATTTGTTTATTATTTCTAATAGTTTTTTGGTGGAGTCTTTAGGGTTTTCTATGTAAAAAATTATGTCATCTACAAAAAGTCATTGCACCGTTATTCACGGTCCCAAAACATGGAAACAACTGAAGTGTCCTTTGATAGATGATTTGATGAAGAAATATGGTACAGCCCTGGCTGGGTGGCTCAGTTAGTTGGAGTATCATCCCATACACCATAGGTTATGAGTTTGATTCCTGGTCAGGGCACACACATAGGTTGCAGGTTCAATCCCCAGTTGGTGCATGTAAGGGAGGCAACCAGTCAGTGTTTCTCTCTCACATTGATGTCTCTCTCTGTCTCTCTGTCTGTCTGTCTGTCTCTCTTTCTTCCTTCCTCTCTAAGAAAAATCAATAAAACATATCCTCAGGTGAGGATTTTGAAAAAAGATGTGGCACATATATGCAATGGAATATTACTCAGCCATAATAAAAGATGAAATACTGCCATTTGTGACAACATAGATGGATTTTGAGAATATCATGCTAAGCAAAATAAGTCAAATGGAAAAAGTCAAGAACCATATGATTTTAGTCATATGTGAAATATAAAATTGAAAACAAAGAAGAAAAACAAACAAACAAAAACTCATAGACACAGACAACAATATGGTGGTTACCGGAGAGAAGGTGGGTAGAGGGATAGTAAAGGGTAATAGAGGTGAATTATATCATGATGCAAGATGATTTGCCTTTGGGTAGTGGATGCACAATGCAATATAAAGATCATGTTTCATAGAAACGTACACTTGAAATCTATATAATCTTATTAACTGACACCACCCCAATAAGCTTAATAAGAAAAAAAAAAAAAAAAACACTTTCAAAAGAATTGAAAAGTTACTTAAATTAGAATTCTTAAAGTGAGGTTTTCCAGAGATTATGAGAAGTAGACATTTCACAGAAGACAATTATTGACCTAAGATCCTTGAAACAAGCATACAATTACATAAAGTATATATCTCTATTCAATATCATTAGAAAAGAATTCCCCTAAATGATTGAAAGCACTGATTATCACACTCTTCTTTGTATTTTTTTCTTTTTCATCCTTTTAGAGAAATACTCCCATTTTAATAGTAGAATTTACTATATTTCTGATTTGCCCAACTTTGTTTTCTTACTAATAAAATAAGTTGCCAAGGTACAAGCTTTATTTTTTTAATTTTTAAATTAAATTTATTGGGGTGACATTGCTTAATAAAATTATATAGGTTTTGAGTAGTTGTACACCAAAAACAGTCATTTTTCTATGTGATTATTTTAAAATAAAAATTTAAAATATTACCCTAACCGGGTGACTCAGTTGGTTGGAGCACTGTCCAGTACACCAAAAGATTGCATTTTCTATTCTTGGTCAGGGCACATACCTGGGTTGCAGACTTGATCCTTGATTGGAGTGCATATGGGAGGCAACCAATCGATGTTTCTCTCTTACCTCTCTCACTCTCACTCTCTCTATTCCTTCCTCTCTCTCTCTCTCCCTTACTCTCTGTCTAAAATGAATAAAAACATATCCTCAGTTGAGGATTAAAAAAATTAAAAATATTGAGATCAAAATAGTGAAATAGACATTTTTACCATCTCCCACCACTCCACAAATACAGTTATACACTAAATAGAGTGCCTATGGAGAAGTCCAGGAATCCAGCACAGAAGTTACACTGTGAGAGAAGCACACTGTGGGAACAAAAATATCTGATACTGGTAGCACTTCAAAGGGTGAGAGAAATGATTTCACTTTACCCTGGTCAAGCCTTCCCCTATGCGGCATAGTGCAGTACCCATAGAAATCTAGGCCTTTGATTTTTCCCATAGAGGAAAGTGAGAGCACATGAGTGAGCTCCCGGCTCTCCCAACTTTGGCAAAAACTGTCAAAGAGACTCCCCTCATTCTTGCTTTATCCATATACTGAGGTGTGCTGCCCAACTGGGAAGTGGGAAGCACCTGGGAGAACAGCATCCAGGGCTCTCAGTGGGCATTAAAGGGACACAGATCCTACTAAGTACAGCACAGACAGATGACATCAGAAGCTGCTCATGAGATGCTGGGGATGCCTTGCCTGCAGATCCCCACAAGTGGCCCACAAGCACCTCCAAGGCTCAATGCCTCACTCAAACACCATTCCACTTGGTGGCCAGCTACCAGTGCGCACAGGAGGGCAGCAAGAGTCAGCCTTTACAGATGACTAGTTTGCAGGCTCAGAAAGGGTCCCATTCTGCAGGACTGGGAGAAATCACACAAATATGGGCATTCAGCACCACCCTAGGGAAAGAAAGCAATAGAGAGGCTGTCAACACACAATCTGGTTTTGCAGGATGAAGAGAAGGCTATAATGTCTGTAGTAATTGTCCAGAAAAAGGAGGAAACCAATGCTGTGGTGAAGGTTTAGAGCTTGAATGTGCCTAAGTATGTACTGACTCTGCACCTTTAGCTAGAGCATTTCTTTTTCTTTCATAAGTAAATTCCCACGTATGATAAAGCAGTTAAGTCTATAGTAATTGTGCCCCTTTTCTCTCTTCTAGTTTGGTTTAGGAAGAATAAACCAATAAAATAGAAGCCATGCATCCCTCTCCCTCTGTCAGTCTTCAAGGAAATTGACCAATCAACAGCCACCTTGCTTTTACTAGACTGGAGCTAGTGTTTATAGTGAGGGAAATAATAAAAGCCATTGAGGTATTGGGCTACAGTACTGCCCTTTCTGATTCAGATGTTATACATCTGATTTAATATGATGACTGTCCTTATAAGAACAAATCAATCAACTAATAAAACCATAACTCAGCCAAGAGCTATCATCTCACTATACCAATCACCAATTCTTTAAGAAGAATATAAGAGAACTTAAAAATAACCTACCCTTGACCACAGGTGAGAGAATTAGGAAATTAATTATTAATGCAACATCATTCATTCCACTGATTTATCCATAACACTAAAAGAAATAACTTTTTTTTAGAGAGAAAAAAAAAAGTTGTGATTAGTAATGTTTATTCAGTCAAACATGAAGATGAGGCAGGGAGATTTGTCACAAGCTATCTGCAAATTATCCATTCATCTAATGCCTTTGTGCATTCCACTAATAATAGTAAGGTAACTGATAAATACTTATAAAATTTTTCCTATGTAGCCCAGAAAGAAGGAATTGAATAATAATGCGAACAAAACATTACAAGTCTAGGAATAGACTTAATTGTCTTAAAATAACAGAGCTTTATTGAGAAAGAAAGACATGTATAAATAGAAAGAAACTGTTTGTTCTTAAATAATCAAATAAAGACATTAAGAATTTTGATCTTCACAAATTAATTTATAAATTTAATTCTACCACAAAGCCTAAACGAAAATTATGAATAAATGCCAGAATTCGCCTCTTTTTCTTCAACAAACATTTCTGATTATCAACTATGTGAAGAAGTTTGGGCTAAGTACTGAGGCTATAGCAGTGAAATAAAACACAAGTCTGTCTTTTAAATTCTATAAGAGACTAAATGTGAACAAATGTGTACTGAATTTGGTAAAAGAGAATTGCTTTGTGAATTTAATTGGAAGCTCACATTCTAAAATCATGTCCTATCCCGATTTCCTCGAACACACCAATAGTACATACCATCACTGGGCTCTAAAAAAAAAAGGTCACTTTCTTTTTTTTAACAAAAAGTTGGTCAGAACACATAGAAAAGACTGTCACATATTGCTACAAATATAGAGAAAAAAATTATATAAAACTATAATTTATTAAAATCTCTCAAAAACCTATTAAAAATCAAGTTACAGTGATGAAATGGAAATGCTCAATTCAAGATGTACAAATTTAGTGAAAAAATCATGATTCTAATTACACTAAAAGTTGGTGGAAAGTAATTTAACTATTAACAATATTATCTGATTATATAATTACCAATTTCATATTTTTGTATTTTACATATTTTCTATATTTGGCATGTAATGATTTATAATCAGAAAAATAATAAATGCTGATTTCAAAACACAATATTTAAAAGCCCATCCATAATAAAGATTGTGATATTGATGCTAAGGGGTTTTCTTATAGGACGGGAGTATGAACAGCTAATAAAGCCTAAGTTTCAAAATTAATCATTACTAACTCCCTTCAAGAATCCATTATGCAGCCCTAGTCAATGATGCTCAGTGGTTAGAGTATCAGCCCACATATGAAAAGGTTGAGGCTTCAATTCCTAGTCCAGAGCACGAACCTGGGTTGCAGGTTCTATCCCATATGAGGCAGATGTTTCTCTCCCCCCCCAACCCCCACTCTCCCTCTCTACCACTCTGTCTAAAAATCAGTGGAAAAATTTCCTCAGGTGAGGGTTAACAGCAAAGAATCTATTATGCAACAGTCATACAACAAACTGTTCTAACCCTTTCTGGGTCATCTTGAAACTAACCCTTATAAAGTATTTTTATGTACAACACATTAGTTTCCCCTTGGAGAAAAANTTCCTACTATGTGTTTTTAACATACAACACATTAGTTTCCCCTTGGAGACAGGCAATATGACAAATGCTATGCTTGAAGGTCTGTCCCAAGCAGAGGGGGCTGCCCGCTTGCAGGTTTGTGTACAGGGTGCAGGTGCCTGGGGAGCAATGTGCACTCGCTGCACAGAAGTACACAACTGCGTCTCCAGGCTGGGTGGCCGCGATTTGCAGGGAGAGATGCTTGGCCTCTTTATTCAGTAACACAGTGAGTCTTCCATCTTCTTTTCTGTCCTTATTTGAAAAAATGTCTATAATGAGCTGGGGGCCTTTTCCAGGTTCTGTCTTGTACCAAGGAAAGTAGTCTGAGGCACTGTCTGAATAAGAACAGGTGATAACAGCGGGGTTTCCCTCCTGGACACTCAGGGTAGAAGGACTCTGCTCCACTTTCTCTCCTCGGCTGACCCCTGTGCAGAAAGAAAGAGTCAGAGAAAGGAGAAGGGAGGCCATATCATTATGCTTCAGAATTTTCTTTTTCTACAGCAACTAAGGAAACCTGAATAAAGCCAGTGTTGGCTCCTAAGAATATCCACTAATATACTCTGTTTCCCATAGACCCTCAACTCACAGTCCAGCTGCAGCCACAAGAACATGAAGGAAGCTCCAGTGGATGTCTTCATCATTCTTCCCACTTAGGATCGATTGTGGGCCTGCAATCTACAGCCAGGGGAGCTACTGCTGTTCCCAAGTCATCCCTCCTTTCCTCTGACAATCACAGGG